CTCTCTCTCTCTCTCTCTCTCTCTCTCTCTCTGTCTCTCTCTCTGTCTCTCTCTCTGTCTCTCTCTCTCTCTCTCTCTCTCTCTCTCTCTCTCTCTCTCTCTCTCTCTCTCTCTCTCTCTCTCTCTCTCTCTCTCTCTCTCTCTCTCTCTCTATGTCCACCTCAATCCACATCTCCATCTCCATCTCAATCGTCCTCGGCACGTGTAGCCCACCTGGCCATCCTGTCTCGTTGGGGCCGAGGACATACCGAGGACACTTCATCGCCATCTCATGCCATGTCTTCCCGTGGACTATAGTCAGGCGCGATATCGTGACGTCGTTGAAAGCGACCACGTGAGATAAAGACGTGACGTCATAACCCATATCGTATCAGCCGCTGGGAAAGATAGCTCTCTCTGACTGTGGTCAGGGATCTCGATTGTGGAATGATACGATGAATAATAATATTCCAGCGCTCTGCACACAGGCTGAAATACTGCCCTATGGCTACTGACATTATACCGACCATATAGTACGGAAATACCGCAGTGGTTTAGCGCAAGAACTAACGGAAATGAAGCCTATCAGTTAGTTGGTAGAGTGAATCACAACCGATAGGAGACGGAAGCGGATATGAACGTTCAGCTGGCATGTGTGATTGTGTAAGGTAAGGTAGCGTTAGAATTTCTGTTATCCCACCAAGATATGTGCTGATGACGCGGCATTTTATGTTGTAAGCGTGTTACTAATTGGTTGTTACGCAAAGGACTGGGACACTAATGACTCAACTATTAAAATCTTATGCTCGTAAGACAGATGGTGAAAGGCTCTTTATGATGACATCACGCATAGAGGTAGGAACGTACCGAGAGGCGGGATGGAGACAGAGGTAATTGGTATCATTTTGTGATACTTTCAACGCCCATCGATAAATTGATTACAGTTTTATGTCATTTCTTCTCTCATGACTTTCTGTTGTTATAAAATGTGCATCTGAAATGTAATTGAAACATTTTATAGCGAAGTTGGCTAAAAAGTGGGCGGGCCATTTCGAGAGTACTTCTCTGTGGATCTAAACAGACAGGACATAAAATTGTCGGCTATTTGCTTCACTGCCACCCTCTAACTGCCACACAAGCCACGTGTCCGTTACCTATACGACCCAGTTCAGTTCGGTTGCAGTTGCAGTTCGGCCCGCCTAACGTGCCGTCCAGACACCTGTAACTGCTCTCGGAAAATAAATTGTGTGAAATTCGCGCATCTCTATCACCGCTTTTATTTGCACTGGGTAATTTTCAGCCAGATTTTTCTCACGACAAAGACAGAGGGAAAGTGGGCTTACCAGTGAGGAACCAAATCACACGCAATTATCTGTCAGCACTTCTTGATAGTGTGCATAATAAGTCACTAATCAACATTTACTTGACTGCATGTGTGTTGTTCGAGGTGCATCGTCGAAGTTGCTTGAACTTCATTAGCATTCAGTCTGCTGTCGTTTTGGTCGGTCGGTCGTTAAATACGGCCACAACCGATTGCCAAGCCTCCCGTGAGTCTACGTCACGGGTTGTAATACCGTCTCGTCTGCATGAATTCGTGATGATATCACTGCTAGTCAGGGCTTGTGGAGGTTGTCTGGGCACTACATCAGAGCTTCGACCGCAGCCGGTGATATAGTTCGCCACGGATGACCTCACGGGGATACGTAAATGCTTCCGTATCTACATAAGTAGATATGTAAACATGCATTTCTTAAATAAGTAAGTACGAAAGCTCTATATGTACACAAATACATGTATACAGCTTTGGTTAGTTGGGGAGAGGGGGGGGGGGGGTGGAACTGGCGTATGACCTTGCCTTCCGCGACCGGCCGTAGTCATGAGTGCACCTGTGCACAGTATATTGTGCAACTGTACACCACCTCAGTGTGCACTGCATGCAGTGTGCAGAGTGCACAAAGTGCAGAACAGCCCGCGGCCGGCCAGGTGGTGGCACATTGCCAGTTCCGCGGCCAGGAAGTCAGCTCCAAACCTGGACGAGTAGGTAGGTACAGTTGGTAGGTATATACCAGTCGCGGTGGCATTGATGTCAAGGTCAGGATCACCGCCGAAGATGAGCAGGAATGCGGCGAGCGGCACCGAACGCCTCAAAAGTGCGTAACTGCAGCCTCGGTGGCTGTCTCATTCATAAAATAGCGGCGGATGTGCGGGCTGCAGCGGTAAGAGGCGGTGACATCTCCATACGTGGACACGTCACGGTGCAGCGTCGAGCGAACACGGAGCTGATTCTGCGCCGATAGGACGCGCCGGACCGTTCAACTACGTAGGGAAGGTCGCGATGTGTCAGGATAAGAGCGTGCATTAGTCAGCTTTCTGGGTATGTGTCTAATGTAACGGACGGCTTCGGGCTTTGCATTTACGCATTTGCGTACAATAATGGAATAGTAAAGTGCAGGCTGCAGGCACGTAGAAGAGTGGACCTTTAAGTACCGTCAACGCATGCTAGGAAACAACCGCATACACATTTCTTGAAAACAGCCTTCAGGAATCTAATTCGGTAAGTAGTCTTGTACTTGTCACATTGATTTACCGTGATGGTGTATTCATTCAAATTGTATTAAACCTACAAAAAATAACGAGATACACGAATCAAATGTCGTACTTGCGTCTGCCTAGCGAGGTTAAAGCTGCATGCAAAGGACTCGTATAAATTCCCATGCTCATACGCACAGTACCCACTGCACACACTGCACAGTGCACCCCACTCAGTTGCTAACGAGTTCCTAAAACCTCCGTCCATGTGCAGTTGTTCGCGGTGTTCACCTTACCGCCACACAACGTCAGACTCTTGTACCTGTGTGCAGCTTCCGGAATTTTCCTACAGATCACGGTATTTCCTGCAGCGCCATGGCCTTGGCCGGTGGCCGCCGAACAATGTCTCGATTTTGGCGAGACAAGTCACGGCGCAGACGAGGCGGAAGGTGACGCAGTTTGGCACGACGTTCGTCAGGCGCCTGACATGCGCCGGCGACCTCGTGTTCGACCCGAACGGCAATGTGTACGGCGCCGGGCGAATGAAGACTTACTCGTGCCTAGTCCTGTAGACCGTGGGGTGGCTACTGACTAAAGCCATGGGTCGAAGGACGCACGAAACCACGGACAGAACCGAGATGCACTGCGAATAGAGAGAGAGAGAGAGAGAAAAAAAAAAACGGATATAGGCGCAGGAGTGCTGAAAACGAAGGAAAAGAGGCTCTTCTTTGCATTGTAGTGATAATTAGCGGTTGGACTATTGGTTTGAACGTTTAGCGAACAATAGATGCGTGCATGCTGGTCCTAGAATTAAATGGTTCTATTGTACATAAAATAATAGGTATGATGATGGGATCTGTTTTGGATTGAGTCTTGACGATTTAGTCACGCATTCAGACAGACGGAGTAACTTTGTTAACCCTCGTCCCGTTGGGGGGGGGGGGGGCAATATGGCATTGGCCCCGGCCCGTGGTTTTTCCTGAATAGCAAGAAAACGCAGCGCCGCCAAATTTTCAGTACCTTCTCGGACATCAAAGTGACACCATACACAAAAATTTCAAGTCTTAGCTCACCTTAGGTCAGAAGTTATTGAGGTCAAACTGAGGTCATGTTCGAGCAAAATGAGCAAAGAACATGAAATCTTGAAACGCTCACAAAAGATATGTTACCAGGCAATTTCAAAGTTCTTCATGTGGTCGCGTAGAGAAAAGACGGCGCTACAGAACTGGTATTTGTCCAACCATATATCAGGAAGGCATATGGCTGATAGGGCTGATTAATATGCCTTACCTATGTATTCCGTGTGTCTCTGCCGTATTTTGCACGATGGTGCGAACTCATCAAAGTTCCAAAGCATATTATTGCAGTAAAGATTAGGTACTTACGCTTATTTCTTATATTATGACGCTTAGCGCGGAAAGCTAAAATTGTGCAACCGGAAAACTGAAACAGTGTTATATAGGTAAATGAGATATGTTGTACGTAGGAATTTAGCGTGTGCGTCTAAAGCATTTGTCCATGACATTTTTGCTCCATGAGCGCAGTAGGTCTTTTCCTGAGTGGATGCATTTCACCGGAATTTTCGGCTGGAAGCCTTACTTTCGAGGGAAGTTTCACTCGTGTTTTCATATTGTTGCAGCAACTCATGGCCCCGCCTCTGTTATTTTCAACTATTTCGTGGTACCTGCACACAAATTCACCTGCAATCGACACAGCCCACTCCATGTGAGTAGAAACGAGGAAATTACTCACGCAGTTTTTATCTTTCAAGTATCCTATCCCTCACAGTGTCATATGTTGATGCAAGGTAAGCACTGCAGGGCAAGGATTTACAGAGCAAAAATTTAACGCCGTCATTACAGTATTTTTTTTTTCACCGATGCACTTTTAATCAATTCTGGCCGGCTCATAATGAGCTCTCTCACACTGTGATGACTCTGACTGAGTCCAATTCGATTCGGCGGGCTCCGTCTCGGCGCTCGTCTATGACTGGTGATTCTCTGAACCGTGGTCAATCACCGTTCGACAGCGCCCGGTCGACCGCCGCTCAGTTAGGGACGCTACCCGAGCCACCGCTTTGGAAAGCCGGCTAGTCGACGCCGAGACGCCGGTTTTCGTTCCGGTGAAAGCAACAACCTCAGGCAGCGTGCAGCGTTTTCCGTATTTGTCGCGTTTCTCGCTGAGCAGCCTCGTCATTCTACGCTGGTGCGTATGAGGAGCATGACCTTGGCCCTGTGACCCTGCGCGGTGTGCGCGCTGCTTCCTCAGCCGCCTCCCGACGGCGCGTCGCCCCCCTCCCCTCCACCTGTCGCTATTCTTCCCTCCGTCACTCCCCCTCTCCATCACTTCCCGTCCCTTCCTCCCCTCCCAGGACACACCCGCGCTTCCGACAGTCCCCGCGATGGGGGCGGGACGGCCGCCGCACGGGGGGGGGGGGCACTGGGCTGTGACGTCACAGTCGGTGCCGGCCGCGCGGCGCCGGCCGCGGCGCTGTCGTCAGTAGCACCTGTGACGGCCGGTGGTGGTGGTTGGAGTGGCTCGCTCGGAGTGCCCGCAGCGCGGAGAGAGACCCAGTGAGGTGCCCGGTGCCCTGTGGCGGTCAGGTCAGAGCGGAGGTGACCCTGCCCGGGGATGGCGGGCGCTGTGGTGCAGCCGCCCGCCAGCGGCCAGCCGGTCGGCCTCAAGTCGGCGCTGAAGAAGGGCAGCACGCGCAGGAAGCGTCAGGTGGTTATTGACGAGGCGCGTAACACCTACTGCGAGGCGACCACATACTATGAGGACGTGCCTCTGCCCCGGCGCCGGGACCTGGCGCTGAAGAAGGCTGCCCAGCAGAAGGCGGCCGTCGATGCGACGTCGACGGCGATGATGACGGCACTGATGCCGCCCACGGAGCCGCAGAGCACAGCAGCCCTGAACGGTAAGTTCCGAAGGGATTCGATGCAGGTATTCTTTGTGCTGAGTCTCCCGTCTTGTGCGCGTCTGTCATTTAGGTAAATGTTAAAACACCGATGAGATGCGAGTCGGGCAGGTATCTGCTGTTTATAGTCCAGGTAAACATAGTTGACTAGCGTTAGACGGTTCATGAGACAATATCACTAGGCATCTCTTACATGCCGCCGTTTGTTTCTACTTCACCCGTGTTTGCATAGATGTAACAATCCAAACCAACGGAATTGTAGCTTGCCAGTCATAATCAGATTGTTGCCATTGATCAGAAATAAGCAAATATTGATTCAGCCGTCCTTTAACTTTTATCAGGGCCGTCCATCTTTGACGTCAGTCTGCATTTGCCGCCACGTTTGTTTTGACGGCTACCTATCAGTGATCGTTACGTTACAATTCCGAGCAGTACCTTTACCATGATGTCAGTGGTGTCATGACGTCAATGATGTGACGTCAGAATCCAGGGGTGCAGCGAGTATGCTGATGTCGGCATTGGTCGGTGCTTTCGGCTGCAAGCGGTCCTCTTGAGAGCTGAGACTGGATGATGATGGGCACTGTAGTAACACTAGTCCGGCCCCGCCCTCCTCGACCCCTCTTGGGCTCCTTTGGGTCCTCCTAGACCATTACGGCACCTCCTGGATCCTGACCCTCGCTAAACTTTGAGTGCTGATAGGAACCTACCAATCGACCCCCAGACTGAGCCTCTGATAGGACCCCTTGCGGGCCCCATGAAGTCCTGTCTGGATCGGGCGGAGATTTCTGGTTTAAACTTCAGGCCAGGTAATCGGTGGTTTACTATGCACGCTAGCGAGTTTCCAGACAAGCTGTGCCGGTCAGGAAAAGCGCTTTGTTGCTGTTTTGTTGATCAGTATTTGCACTCAGGACTGCAGTGTTGCAGCAGTCCACAGAACAGTTCGTCGTGGACGAGTTATTCATGCACTGCAGAAATGGAGCCCCGAATTCTGATCGACATATGTTCCTCTCCAAATGTGGCTCTGGTTATATGTTGTTTCGTCCTCCGCGAGGCTTAGAAAGTGAAGCCGGTCCGGGCCAGAAATGACACCAGAACCTGGTGTTTTTTTCCTGTTGTACGTTCATCCTTTCGTGAAATATCTAGCAAGATTCTTGCATGTTCAAAGTTGCCCGTTTTATCGCGCTCAGACAATTATTTTCGCTGTTACTCGGCGTTTTGTTCCGATAAGTAAAACCATGAGCTGATACATATGTTTGTGATGCTAATGTGGCGTTATCACGGTGATTTTTTACATGCATTCCCATGATGTCTTCTGTCTTGTAACATCGGTATCTTCCGAAAAAGTCTCGTGAACCAAGGCCGCGTTTCACAGTCGCGTCCCATCTACATTCTGAGCGCAGCCGGCTGTCGCGCCCGCGCGGGGCCATCGTTCAGAGCACTTCCAGCCCCACCTGTTGTGTCCTTCCTGTTTTTAACGCGCCGAAACAGGGATAGACCCGAGGATAGGCCGTCCCCGAACCGGGACAAGGTTATGGCGCAGCGGGAAGAACGTCGGAACAGGCCATCAGTCATGTCTCCACAGACGACTACTGTTTCGGCAATGAGAGGATTTCCTAATTCAGGTGGTTGTGGAGGCGCAAAGTGCCATTATGTCGATGATTCTCTCTCTCTTTCTCTCTCTCTCTCTCTCTCTCTCTCTCTCTCTCTCTCTCTCTCTCTCTCTCTCTCTCTCTCTCTCTCTCTCTCTCTCTCTCTCTCTCTCTCTTTTCTACCTCTCTTCGAAGACTCATCCTCCAGGCCACCTCCATCCTCATCCCTATTTTTCTCTTTCTCTTCGTCTCCCCTTTCCTTCTCCCTCTTTTCCTCCTTCACACCACATGACTCTCTTCTCGTTTCCTCATCGCTCCGCTCCTTCTCCCTTTCCGAGTCTCCATGGTCCTTCATCACTCTCACTTTCCACGTCGTCCCGGGTCCGGACTCGTGTCGGCATGTATGTAACATCTGGCCGGCCGGCGTTTGTAAGCTAATGCCCCGCCGCCGCCGCCGCCGCCGCCGCCGCCGCCGCACTCTCAGCTATGCGGTGCCGCCCTCACCCCCTCGCCCCCTCGCCCCCCGTCCGTGCCGCTATGCCACTCGCCTACCAACACTGCGTGCATGTGTCATATTCACGCCCACCTTCAGTCAGACAAAACAACGGCACAGCAGCGGGCCAACATTCGGCGTGGGTTCAAACACGCCCCCATAAAGCGAGAGCGACATGTGTGTCTTTGTGAACCGAACGCCTATCGGGGGGCGTTCGACTCCCGGCGGCGGCGCTTCTGAAACACGAGGTCGGACATGGTCTGGCATACCCACACGTTCCGGTGCAGCAACGAACTTTGAACGAAACGTGCTCTGGCATATTATCGACAGGTACTTGCATGAAAGTGACGGTTCAGAAGGTAACGTTTGATTTTTGGAGCTGCGCCAGAAGACGGCGTTTGAAAGGTTTCACGAAGTCTCGCCAGACGCCGCCGCCGTCGGCGACCCGTCTGGAATTAATCTCCCGGCAAAAAAGGTTCTTTGACTGGCGCAGCGCTGATTTTCCTATAAAGAATATCTACTGAGACTTTGACGATAAGGGAGAGCCTGACGCCCAAAAATCTTGCCAAACTTCCGCGGTTTTAACGTATTGATCTTCACCTTATTATCACCAAATTTATATGTAGTTGACGAAAAAAGTTGATCAAGCTCCGAGCATCTTCATTCAGTCCGTCGGAGAGTAAAAGGCCCATCCTCAGCCAGCCAGTCTGCAGCGTGGCACCAGACGAAGGCACGGCTCCGGATTACCATACAGGCACGGCAAACTCGCGGGGAGCGGCACAGACGACCCCGGTGGGTGTGGCGGCGGGGATACCGGTGGGGACACCCCTCACTCACCGGGGATAAGACAGAGAGTCTGGTAGAGGGACGGCTCCGCCCACCGGCACCTCAGACAGCGCGGCCGCCCCCGCCCCCGCCCCCGCCCGGACCCCGGGCGGCCGTCCGTCCACCTCGGCCGCGACTTCCGCTCCCCTGAGGGGCTTCCGCCCCAGACGGACCGCCACTATACGGCCGGCTCGTGAAAGGACGCCCGGTTCTGGGTCACGCCAGTCAGCGGCGCCCGGCTGTGATCAGAGAATGGGACGTGGTCCACTGACGCGCCGCGGAACGGTGGTCGTCGTACACCGTACGGGCGCGGCGCGGCAGCGGCGGCGGCGGCGGCGGCGGCGGCTCGGCAGAGCAGAACTCAGTGGCTTCGGAACACTTCTGGCGGAGCAGCGGAGAAGGAGGCATAACCCCATAACTTATCATCGTTTGCCTCCGTTAGCTCTGACAGTGGCGTTTTTCAGCTTGAATCGGCCCACTGTTTGATTCAATTGTCCTGGTGCCCTGATGTCTCGATTCACCCATTCTGAGGTCAAAGTCGTCTCGTCTCCTCAATGCTTTGACCGAGTCGAACTCAGTATCTCAGTTCCACTATCCGCTGAGTTGCCCTGTAGCACGACTGTCGGCGGCAGACTCCGATGCCGCCATGAGGACGGACCAGCACGAGCTGCCGAGCCGGGAGCGAGTCTGCTCACGGAGGCCCCGCAGGGTGCAGCTTATCGAGCGTATTTACATACACGAGCCGCCAGCTGACGCGATTCATTCGGTTTTTAAACGGCAGAGACGTGTTGATGAGCGATTGGAGTTTTTTTTGTCAGTGCCAGGGCCGCTTTTGGCGCCCGTGGCGTGCCGGCGTGTTTTGCCGTGACTCCGGGCGGCCGGGGCGCCACGATTTGTGACGTCGCGAGGACTCGGCTGCGCACGCGATTTGTGACATTCCAGAGCCCATGTGCCTCGTGAAAGCCTCAAACTGGCGACACAACAACGCCCAATATAGAGTGATATCGTAAATGTGTTAGTAGCTATCAATCTACTTCAGGCTCGGGCGTCTGAAAGATGGCGAGGATAAATGAAATACTAAAGGCGAACGTCAGTTTGATGGAGGTACAACAGGCGAGTTGATTTTCATTTTCCTTGTGAGTACCGTTGGGGTTGTATCTATCATTATCTGCACGTGATTGCATTCTGAGCAGACAGTGAATAAGCCTCTTACTTTCTTAGATAACGACGCCTTCTTAGCAGAAATTTCTCTATTCGCGTTACCTACACGGAGCCTCTTGACCTCATCACTCAGAAGCATCCTTGTCCGGTACGGGATTGTTCCTAGCCAAGTGGGTCATTAAGCCAGCCTGACGCCCATCACAGCTGCTAAAGCATCCTTTCTTATCGGGCGTGCACAAGAGCCTCCTATCGGCCGTCGGCGCTCCCAATAAGGATCCTCCAAGGTCCTCGACGGACGGTGAATGGGGCCGGACCGACGGCAAAAAGTGCAGGTAAAAGCGGGCGGTGGAGTGGGCCATGACCATACCGCAGCAGGGCAGCGGCTGTGTTTTTGGTCCCCATTGGCCAGCCAATGACCCACTGTGAGCGGATATGCCCCCAAATGGACAGCCAGCTGTTCAATCTCGCCCAGACCCTCCCCACCCTGGCTCGAGTTGTATGATCTGTTGGTAGTTAACCGAGCATTGGATAATGTTCGGCAACATATTGCAGGTAGTTACCGGCTTCTGCGTTGAACTATTGTCTCAAATAGCGCCATGTCTCTGCTGTCTGCAGCGCCGGACATGTTCCAGTGTCTGGCCGTTGTCTGTTGTCTAGCTGTTGTCAACCGTCCGACGTTGTCTGCTGCCGCCGGCCAGGAAAACACGGCGACATGTGCTGTCCACAACTCAGCTCAGGCCGCACCCGACCGGCCGGGGGACGGGCCACACCGCTCGGACAAGGCTGTGTCACATTCCGTAGGCACGCTCCGCGACAGTCGGTCCAGGCGACACGGCGGTCCGGTCCGGTCCGGTCCGGTCCGGTCTGGTCCGTTTTCCGTGATGTGTTGGTTCATGGCGTGCTGCCGCCGTGGCCACTCCTTCAGACCCACA